CCGGTACAAATTACTCGTGTATATTCGCATCTTAAAATACTTTCATTACATTGATGAATAAATATACAACTTCAAGTGAGAGATAAATTCCCGCGCGGACTTATTCATTTTTAGATCAGGTTAGATCGAGCACCATGCATTTCGATCGAATAAATAAATGATTATTACGCGATCGATGCTACGATAGAGTTATTAACTACTTGAACAGATTACTGGAAAAGCATTTAATCGAAATTCGAAATTCGTAGTACGCATTTTCAATGTACATGCAAATTCCGCAAAATATACCATGAATAAAGTTCGAGTGTCGATATTACTTATATACTTTTCATCCGAGAAGGCTTTATCGCGATAGTTAATCGATTTCGCGAGACGATATTCGCTAATTGTAGTAACGATCAAGAGAACGATCGTATTTGGAGAAATAATACGACGACGTATAGAGCAGTTTGCGCCGCTGCCTTCCCGTTCGACCGTCACCGCGTAAATGACGGTGACGCGTGACGTCAGATAAACAGTAGCGCGCTTCACGTATGTTACGTGTGTGTGTGTGTGTGTGTGTGGTGTGTGTGTGTGGCGCGTCGTCTCGTATTACCTTTCAAAATATGATGTCCTCTACGATTATCAGTCCGTATTACGAACTAATTCTAATACAAACGGACGAATATTTACGACGGATATTTTATAAGACATATACAGGGTGTTTCAGACCACCCGTACCACCCATTTAAAAATTGGAGAAGTGGTTATTTCGAAAAAGTAAAAACATTTTCTTTATAAATCGGGTGCGCTCTATCGAATGGTGATATTTTCAACTTCTGGTTTCCGCCGGAAATAGGCGATTCACATCGGAAGTGCATTTTTTTTAATGGAACCCCCTATTTTTTATTGCATATTCTTGTAACTTACCTCGAGAGCTTTTTAAAATACTATAATAAAGTGTTTTTCCATTGAATACTTTCCGAGTTATGAGACTTGAAATCATTTCTTAGTTTTACATAAAATACATATCTTGTAAAATATTCATTTTTCGATTATCTTACGATTATCTATCTTCGATAATCAATTGGTGTAAAGAAAACACATAGTTATTTCTAAGAAAAAATATGTAATTTGCAATTAATAATTCCATATTTTTTCTTAAAAACAACTGTATGTTTTCTTTACACCAATTGATTCCTCTCATTATTTTATACATAAAAAGAGTATTAAGATAAGATAATCGAAAAATGAATATTTTTCTAGATATTTTATGGAGATTTAAGAAATGATTTCAAGCCTTATAACTCGAAAAGTACTTCATGGAAAAATAATTTATTATAGTGTTTTGGAAAGCTCTTGAGATAAGCTACAAGAATATGTAATGAAAAATAGGGGGTTCCATTTAAAAAAATGCACTTCCAGTCTGAATCGCCAAGTTGAAAATATCACCATTCGATAAAGCGCACCTGATTTATAAAGAAAATGTTTTCACTTTTTTGAAATAACTACTTCTCTAGTTTTTAAATGGGTGGTACGGGTGGTCTGAAGCACCCTGTATATAATGTGTCTGAAGAGTGTTTATTAATAATAACATGTATATATTTTGTGGGATTTATGTGTGAAAAATATACTATGATTGCGATATTAAATTTCAATTAGATATTTTTTAGCGATTTATTATGCTTTAATTCGTGTAATAAGATTGAAGATACCATTTTTGTATTTTAATAAAATGTGGCATTATAACAAAACAAATCGCAAGTACAATATGGATCAGTTTTATCAATAACAAAAAGAATTAATCGATTATTTCGAAAACAATTAATGATACAATCGTACAAAAACAATTAACCGATTATTTCGAAAACAATTAATGATACAATCGTTTGATCCCAGAAGTAATCAACTGCTAATTATTGTTTGGGTATCATCGTGGAAACGTATTTATTTGTTCAATCGAAATCTATCATGTGAACAATTGGCAAACTTATATATATTTATATTACGTTCTTGATTATTTATCTTTAAATATAATCTTTTATATATTATTCGCTTATAAAGCAGAATAATAAAATTCCTTTAAAAATTAGAGCATCTATCATTTATTAGCAGTAAAAAATAATATTGTGGTGTAAAGAAAATTTGGGCTTTTAATTTTCAAATACCGAGTAGATTATGGTTTTCGCATTTGTTTTCTTATCGCAATATAATACAGTGTGCAATTAACATCGAGATGTTAAGTGTTGAACGATTGTCGTATGCTAATAATTAATGCATACGATCGTTATTAATCGTGTTTTCACGAGCAAGTACCATATAAATGTTATAAAAGCATATAATGAAGGATGAACAAAAAGAAGAAGAGACCAGTGAAATATTGGACAATAACAGATCAATCGAGATTTGTCATATTTTTTTATTTTATTAATTTCTTTATTTGTAAAATTAATTGTTTATTTATCTCTGCGATAATAAATGCATACGTAAAGTATTTTGATAGATTGAAAATCTATTTAAAAATACTTATAAAATATTTATATATAATAAAAATATATGTACAAATTGATTAATATATTTTCTAGATAAATATATGTAAAATATTCCAACATTATGTTCGAAATTTATAATTATTTAGATTATTTTTATAAAATTTTGTTATACTTTTATTTTTACTATACACTTTATAAAAAAGTTGATATTTAAAAATACTTTTTTTGTGAATTATATCATTTTTTTCACATATTTATTCGAAAAATGAAAATAACAAATTCAAATAAAGCACCATTATTTTTTAAATATTAAAAAATATGAATTTTTTTCATTTTCTTTAAATACGTTTGTATTACCAGATCATAAAATTTGATCATTTACACTGTTGCGTATTGTAAATGTTAAATTATTTTTTATTTTACAATCTGAAAATATATAATAAATATACGAAAATTATATATATAATATATGTTTATGTACGTTCATGTAAAATATTTAAAAAAATAATATAAGTAAAAAAATGGTAAAAGCTTTCTATATATTATTTCGAATAATGGAGTTTTATTAAAATTTGAATTAAAATTATATACTAGTTTTATTAAGAATAAAAATATCTGCAATACTTTTTATTATACTTCCAATTATAATTATCATTATCTTTGTCTCGATTTTAGTACATATCAAATTAATTAACGGGCAAAATCTTGATGAAATATGAAAAAAGATGTGCATAGAAATTTTATATTCACAAATTCATTAATATGATTAATCGAAATATTAATTAAAAATTTTAATATTACTTAAAAAATAAATAATATATATATGGATATAATTTATAATAAATTTGATTAAAAAAATTCGCATGTATCCGTTTGCATACAATTACTGCCGATAAGTAAAATTATTTTTCGCGCAATATATGATAAAAATACAGTAATTCTCACGAACACGGTCGGAATATTCTGTTTCACCCATTGTCTTGGTCTTTATTGAAAGACCGAAGCATTCTCAGGTGTAAACGCACTTCATTCCACGAAGAGTGCGCATTCAAACTTTCTAAACTACAATTTGTCTTGATCGCTGATATTCCAGCTTCCCGCACCTCTTCTTTTGTCATCGATTTTACGGCTTGCAAGATTAAAGAGACGCTACGCGATAATTACTGACTGATGAAATCGAGAGAGTCTTCTTCGTGTATTTGTAATCAAATATTCGGTACGGCATCTGCCCTTTAAGTTTAAACAATTTTTAAGCAATTTAATGTCATGAGAATGAAATTATGCGATAATGCAATTGACTAAATTTCTAATTATACGTCTTAATTTGACCCGATTAATAAACATGGTGTAATGTAATTCTTTGACGTATAAATGTGATGCTTATGTCCAATCTTATTAATTCATAAATGATATAAATAATTAATAAAATATTTCAAACAACAATATTTCAAAGTATCCCATAGAAATGATAAAGTCGATTTTTAATATAATGCTGAATTTAATATTCAAGAATATTCTAGAAAAAATGTTCAGCAATATTCTAGAAAAGAAATTTTATTTGGCTTCCGTGAAAAAAATTGGAAAGTACCTTACTTTATAATCTTTATAATCCACACAACAAAGCGTCGTAAAATTACGTATGTGCAGCTTATCATCTAGTTTCAAAAATCACAAAAGCCATAATTATTTTCGAATTTGTCATTGATATGTACGCCATAAACTAGGGTTGCACAAGACCCAAGACAAAACAATATTCGTAAAAATATTGTATTAGTATTGAAAATTTCAAAAATTTAAATCTTGTCTTGAGTAAATATTGGTAGCAAAAATCTCGTCTTGTATTGTCTTGTCTCGATTTTATTAACAATTTTTTATCTAATATTAAAAAATTATTTAAATAATATTTAACATAATTTTTGTAATATAATTTGAAATAATTATTACTATTGTATTATATTTGAATTATAATTATTACTATGTGTAATTGATATAAATACCATCTATTTACATAAAAAAACATTTACTATTTTATGGAAAACAGAAATTAATAACTATTTACAGGCTCCAAGGGAATGTGCAGATATAAATATTTCGGAGCAGTAAAAAAATCAAGTTCATATTTATCCCACATTATTAAAAATGAGACATTTTAAATTCAACTGCCAATCTTTAAAAGCACTAATGTACATCAATTCCTGGGTGAAATGCTCTTTAATGTCTAAAATTTGCGAGGTTGATTTCTAATTTATAAAAATGTTATATTGTATTAATATTAAATGTTTTTAAATTTATCAATATAAATGTTTTTATTGAATAAAATTTTTTTAAATTCGTATATAGTGATTTTTTTTTCATTTACAAATATAAATATTTTAGTTTTTTTGAGAACCAATAATCTTGACAAGACTAATAATCTTGACAGTCCTAGTCTTGGTGTTGTCTTGATAACTAATTAAAAATCTTGATCTTGTCTTGAAATTCAAGACAAGACAAAACAATATCAAGACTAATCTTGATATCTCGTGCAACCCTAACATAAACGGCGTTATGATGTTTCTCATCTACTTACAAGGTAATTATCGAAAATAAACCTCGCAGGTGATATTAGACAGTAGCCTATAACAAAGGACTACTTAGTGACCAGAGGCACGTTTCTCAAGACAAACAAGCTGATTTCCAACGCGCGAACACGTTTATGTTGTGATCTATTATAAGACCCACGGGTCTCCACAAATAAATCTCGACGCGCACATTGTACCAGCGAACAACTGTATGCGCTTTACGCTGAATCTGCAAATTACGCAGTCGGTTGGTCTGCGCGTCGGTCGGGTTGAATGACTGCTCGCCATTAAACTTTAATCGTCGTGGCAAAGCTTGTACCAAGCTTGCTGTAAAATTCGAAATGTTTTATTGTCGATGTAAATCTTTTCATTAAAGTTTAAATTATATTTTTATTCATACATAATTAAATCTTGACAATTTTGATAAATTATGTACATTTTTTAATACAAGTGTATACAATACGATAAGATTTGGCGACAGTGTGTCTATTATTAATTATATAGTTTATATTAGTAATATTATATTGAAAATATAAGACTATTAAAAATTATTTTAATTATATATTTTGTTTCGATAAATTATCCAATATTTCATTATTTTTTTCTGCAAATAGATATAATAAATTGAAAATATTTCTGCTTCGCGTAAAATCAATCAATTATTTCAAATAGAATTTGAAAAATTTCATTATATAAATAAATTATTGCTTCATATTAATTATTTATATATAATTTAATACAAATAATTCATTTGCAATAATTTTATTTTTCTTATTTACAATAATAATTTCATTTATTCAAATCATTATTTTTTGTCTAAATTTGAAATACTCATTAATTTTCGCAATTTTTCCGACTCGTATAAATAATATGCGAATCATGCGGTCAACATGCAACAACAAAAACCTTTTAAATAAAAGGTCACTTGCGTAATAAAAGGAATTTCATTGCATTTCTCTCTTTTTCTTTCTCACTATTATTCTCACTATTAATCTTAATACACGCATCTAAATATCCTTACACTTTCAATCGGAATAAAAATTATAATCGAATATAATTGTGAGAAAATGCCACGATGCAAGCGCGATAAATTAAGTTATATAACGATACGGAGAAATAAATCAATATAATTAAAGCACTATGATACATCTAACAGATCTTAACAAAATAATTAATGTTAATATACTGGAATTATTTCCGTAATAATCGCAATTAAAATAACAGACTACACAGCATCGAACTAGGCCAACAGAGAACAGGAAATTTATCTTTATCATTTATTAAAGAAGGAAAGTAGAGACGTAGCTTGCATCCAAGCTCCAGTCAAAGCATTATTCCAATTTATTATTATTATTAATAATTTTCCCGATGACGATTTGACGCAAATTTCTATGATAATTTCTAGTAAACTCGACGAACCAATTGTTTGGAAATTATATGGTTCAACTTTATATCCCAAGCGTTGTCATTATTCGAGATATTGTGAAAAACGAAAAAGAAAAAGCAAAAGACGGAATAAAAATTTTCAAAAATCTTTAAGTCTTCTCATATTTTTAACAATCTTTTTTTGTAAATAATAATTAAAATTGAGAACTGAAACGTTTTTTAAATCTATTTGATTGGTACGCCAACGGATTGTGATCTTTTATGCTTTCACGGTGCATAAAGGATACAAAAAATTGTACTTTAGCAGATATGAATTACACGAAGATTTATATTAATGATGGGTTTTTAAATTCACCGCAATGCATTTCTACCACTTTGCTTCTACCACATGCCATTCTAACCTTTTTATAAAAACCTGCGACATACATAATGCCTTTGATCCTTAGTGGAACTGAAACCTGAGATGAACGATTTTTCGCAATATTTTCAACGAGCTGCACGATACGTTTTCACACAGAAAGATGTAATACGATGTTTCCACCGGATACATCAAGCCGAAGGAAATATATACATATATGAAATGTAAAATCAGATCTTTGATATGTCAGATCGAATGTATTAAATTGAATATTTATTAAGTCATAGGATTAACATACGATGCATTAGATTAATAAAAACAAAGATAAAATGTAAAATTAAATATATTAAAAAATAAAAATTTAGAAATATAAAAATATAAATAAAATATTGCCGAGATAATATCAACTCATATTTAATAAATCATCTTAATAAATATCTCATATTATTCAAAAATGCATATTTAATTAAAAATGAAAAAAATATTATAAAACACGTAAAATTGCATTTATGAAAGCAAATATTATTTATTCAGCGAAAGTAATGAAAATATTACGTTTTTGACTGGTAAACATTTATTTTATTTCATTTTATAAATTAACAAATGCACATAAATTTATATATATAATTTATTAATTTAATTTTTTTGTGTATTTAATTACAATAATTACACACACAAAATTTTTTACGAATCCTTCAATATTTTTACTATTTACAATATGTAAGGACAATGTTTTTTTTCATGTAGTACTAATAATATTCAGTAAATATTGCAATATTTTACGTGATATCAATCACTATTTGACAACAATATTCAAACGAATCAAACGATAAATTTTAATAAATTGTCTCGCTATAAATTTTTGCTCTGAATATACATCATGCACATGTGTTGTTTATTTTGCATATGTGCCATGCTATATTATCTTTTAATCAAACGAATGACAAAAAGAAATAATGTTTTAATTAAAGTGAAAAATTATTTCGCGACTTTGGTGGTCTTCTCAATGTGATCAACGTTGCGTTGCATTACGAAAGAGTTCTATTGTTTCGAGGGAGCACACTTTTCATCGCGACAGCCCGTAATTATCATAGCCCCACGATATTTTCTGGGTCGATTGAAATCTGCGATTTATCGAGCGCGATAATTGCATGTGAAATACGTTACCTTTCACTCTTCGCGGCAACAAAATCTCATTGGCAGGCGAACAAGTTAATAAAGAAATATTTATCGTTAATGCGTGCCGTTTTGTTTCTTCAAGTCGTAGTAATAGTCTTCTCTCATCGATCATTCTTATATAATTCACGATCTCGTCGCAATAAGTGACCTGCGGCCACCATGAAGAACATATGCACGAGTCTTTCTTCTTTTTTTATTCATTAATTTGACCAACGTGAGAACGTGTCATACGGAATATAACACCGGCCAACCGATAGTTTCCAATTAAACGAAAGCCAATCGAAGTTTTTATTGAAACACATCTGTTATCGTGGGAGGCAGCGGGGCATTGAATATTGTCAAAGAATAATTAAATCCGATGTTGCGCAATATTCCAGTCGAAACCGCTGTAATCTTGTCGGATTTAAACTGACCCAGTTATTTTCCGCAGAAAAGCTAAGTTATCCCATAATAAATACTTTGGAAACTCATTTAATAATACTTTGAAAACTATTACATATACTGACTACGAGATTTCTCAGACTTCTCCTAGTAAACTTGCTTTCTTAAACATAACTTAATTACATTAATATGTTAAATGTATTTGAAAAATAATAATAATAATAATAAAGAAAAATAAAAATAAATTAAAAATATAATAAAACATGATATAATAAAAATAAGAAATATACCTATAATTATTAGCTTTTTGTTATTAACCCTAGTAGCTTTATTACTACAAGATTTTATCGCAACATATAATTTATTAAAATATATAAAAATTAATAATAAATTCAAAAATTATTTCTGTCTCTCAAAATTTTAAATCAAGAAATCATAAAAAGAAAAATGCGAGAAAAATCAAATATGTAATGTATATTTAAATAATTTTAATTATTATATATATAATAATTATACATATAATATTATAAATTCTTTTATATATATTAAATGTATCCTTGATGCCTTGATATATCATTTAATACTAGTTTTAACATATTTAAAGATATCTCTTAGCGTACGAACGTTTCATTCGATCGAGATGTTGCTCTTCACCGAGTTGTTATTTCAGCAGCGAAATTTCCATAGGATCGTTCTCGGAAATCGCAAAGAAAACACTAGCCGTTTTACGATCTATCAAAATGATGTTCAATTGCCTTGCAGCAGGTGGCATTTGAGATCGCGCGCATGTTTTTGACGGTTGGGAAATTACAACGAATGATATAACGCTTAATAAAATCGATACGTCATACGTCAATGATTCGAGTAAGTAATATTGTAAATAATTGTTATCACATATAGTGACAGTCAAAAAATGTCTATCATCGCCGTAAATAACGCAAACAATAGAAAACGGAAATAAAATACGATATTTTCCCGAAAATTGAAAGATCTGAGCCGGAAGCTCGAAAATGTCGAGTTTATACGATTTCACGAGAGTTATGTGACAGACAGTGCAAATAAATGAATGATGCCTGAAGCGAAGCGGATTCGATTCGAATAGATCCCGCGCCATCATATCATTATCACGTGATATGTGCGAATGAGTTTTATTGGGATTGCTGGCGCGTGTCATTTTTGCGACAATGCACATCTATCTCTCGCTTACAGCTGATAATTTGTGAAATCGAATTATCAATGACAAGCTGCACTTTCACGTCTATTCGCGCTTTTGATTTTGCAACAAAATCATTTTCTATATAAAAACTGATGCAATAAATTATAAGTAATAAATTATATTTATGTAAAAACTAAAATTATATTTATATAAAAATTGATGTAGTAACTTAAATAAAATTAGAAAATTTTATTGATACGAGAAATGTAAGAAAATTATATGTCGAGATAATAATTGACAAATATAAAAATACTTTTATATGAAAGAAAATGTTATGTAAAATATAATTTATATCTATAATTGACTACAGACCAATATTAAATCAATATTTCTTTTTCGTAGCGTTTGTGCAAAAGTTCTTCTCTCTCTCTAGTTTCTCTCGTAAAATTTATATTCCGAAGATGCTTTCCCGAGAGCGTATTGTTGTGTAAATTTTATGAAACATGGACTTTGACATAAAACGCTTACCTGCGATTTTCCGCTCGCGCATTCGCCGCCAAAGGGCTTCCGCTTTGCGCATCGGCCAATTCTCGACTTTCGCGCTGAAGCTGCGGAAGAACTTGTATTCCTTAAAGTGCGACATCCTTCGGCCGCTGGTGTTTCCTGTCTCGTCGATGTTACCGGATGAACTCGTTGTGCTGGCTCGACAATCTTCGCTCGACATGTCTGCCATCAAAAACTAATTTCCGTTTCCGTTTGACGTAAGAATTGCGTCAAGTTACGGTGACCGAGTGATGGTTCACCCAAAATCGAGTCGTTTGACATGTTTCTTCTCCTCGTAAAAAGGTACTGGATCATTCTTAAAATCCTTGTGTGTATTATCTTCATGAAATATATTCTTTCTCTCTATTTTAAAATATTTCCAGATATATATAAATATATATTTGTCATTTTTAATTTACTCCAAAATATATTTTTATGCTTAGCATAAATATGTCAAAATATAGCTCACATCTATCTCTTAGGATATAGTTTGTACGTAAAATAAAATATCTCGAAGATATATTGCAGCTCTCTGACAAGTGGGAAAGAGCGCACGTAGCGAGAGAAGAATGAGAAAACTGAGAGCTACTTCTATTTTCTTCACTGCAAACTGTGCCACTTGTTGCTACCGACTACGCGTTCTCGGCAGACGATTGTTTGCTGTATCACATCGTCGATCCGAATCCTTTCCGGAAGTCAGCAAGGCGATAAGCGAACGAGGTTCGCTCGTCATAGGATTCCCGCACAAAAACTTCTCTTCCGTGATTCTTTTCTTTAGAGATTAACAACAATGCTGTTTCTCCGAGGAAAATTACATTTCAGTTAAATCTCCGTTAATTTTCTACGATTGTTTAAAAATTTCTCTTCAATTGCTTCCAAATTCCCTTCTCCTCCACTGATTGTCCATGTTTCAGAATGGACTTATCTCGTGGATGCTGGGAAATTTTTCTACATCTATTCTTTTCACGGAGGGTGCTTTTATTCGTGACAGTCTTAAGAAATAAAAAGGCAAAGAGTTTGTACGGTTAATCCGAAGCGATCCTGAGGATTTTCATCGAATAATCAATCGAGATCCGGTGTATTTCGAAAGAGCTCCATCGCATTTCCAGCGAACGATTTTACAGTTTCTCGAGAAAGAAGGGAAACCAGCTGAGCTCGACAGCTGTCGGCCATCGCCGTCGGTTGCGCTCGATCATTTAATTGAATTCTTCTCAGGTACCAGTAAATATTGCGTGCGTCTTCACGTTGTTGTCGAGAAACACCGAAGACCCGCGCAAAAACGTTCACACTCCAAGAAAAGTGCTCCGTGATGCATCGAAACTGCGAGTTTATTGATACGAGTGTTTGTTAAGCCGGAAACGTATCATGTTAAATAATTCCATTCTCCCCGAAGCTAAAGAAAATATTTATATTTTCAAATTGAACGAGCGATCATAGAAGAAAGGTGTGAAAAATTAATCATAATATTAATTTATCATATTAAATAATTGAAAATATTTATCTTTCAAATTGAACAAGCGATCATATTATAGAAGATGTGAAAAATTAATCATAATATTAATTTATCATATTAAATAATTATTTTCGACATTTAATCTCTTAAAAAATTGGAAATATACTGAAAAACGTTCTTTTCGTAATTATTTCATCTATCAGAATCTTATAATTTAAATTGCAAAAGTGATAGCGCAAATATTTTCTTTCGTTATAAATGCATATTTATGTCGAACGAGATCAATTGAAAAAATCGTTACAAAAAAACATGCAGCAGGTATCTATTATGAATGGCTCACGAGCAGTCAGAGAATATAAGAGAATAATGAGAGTTGAGGCTTAAAATATCCATCTGCTCCTTGACAGGTAAATCGATAAGGGAAAATAAATATGGATGAGTATTGTCAGATATTGATTTCCGAGACACATATTGATCTCATCTGTCAAATTCAATAGCGGCACGTATTCTAGAAGCTATTTGAAATCCAGAGACGTACGATAAGTAAATAGTAGCGAGAACGAAAAAGTTATAGTAATGAAAAAGTTAAAACATTTCTAGAAATTCAGAAAATTATGAAAACAAAAAATTTGACTGAAAAGTTTTTACAAATATTCATTAAAATTCAAATTAAATTTCAAATTTGACTAAAAACAAAAAAAAAAGAACGTAAAATTTTTCCCACAAATTCTAGCGAAAATGAAAGTTGCTTCAAATGCGAGCATTATCATTTATTATACGCAGTCTTGATTTCTATTCATTCAACATGACAATCAAAATGAGATCTTGAGTCTTGAGAGACACGCGGAATCAAGCCGGAGGCAAGAATCGGCCATTTTGATGAGCAAGAACAAGTTATATCGCGCGTAGTAAAAGTTCCTTTTTCTCTGATTGTCTCTAACGATCTAACTAACTTTTCATCGCCATTAGGAAGTCGAAGAAAGCGACTCTTTGTCGAGGAGAAAGGTACCACCATAAGTGAGGATGGCTGTTTTCCTCTTTCAAAGCTTTCGAAATCGACATGTTTTCGCCAACATGTACATTCTAATTTCTGAAGCTACAAGTTTGCGCTGAAATTAATCAGCAACTCGTTTCTAATCGGAGACGCCATGTCCATCGCATTTAACACATACTTTTATGTTAATTTGATATGTAAAAGCGAATCTATATAAGCAAATAAAATTGAAATATCAAGAAATAAATTTGTTTAAGAATATTTAATATTTTTTCCAAACTTTACATTTTCTATATTTGATAATATTGCTTCTAAAAAATTTAATAATTATTAGATTCGAGTTTTGAAAGATATGATTATCCGTCTGACCAAAAGCTTCATATTTAAAATTTATTATTTATTTTTTAATTGTTTTTTTGAATTCTCTTTTCTATCTAATTTTCCAATTCGAGCCTCGTTTCCGTCATTAGATCCTAAATTTTAAATAAATTTACATTGAAATTAATTAGTAATCTCATTCTTTTAGTCAGAAATGATATATTGCATTTAATACATCTTTAATCTTAATTTGACTTAAAAAGTGAATTTATAAACAAATTTATAAACAAATAAAATTAAAACTTTGAGATAAATTTGTTTAAAAATATTTAACATTTTTTCAAACTCTTCTTTATTTTCTGTATTTGACAACATTGATTCTAGGAAATAATTACTATAAATTCAATAATTATATTAAATTCAAGTCTCAAAAAAAATTATTAGCTTCCAATACTGACGAAAAATTTTACATTTAAAGTTTATTATTTATTATTATTTTTTCCAGTTTTCTGTCTAATTCAAGTTTCCAATTTACATTTCATTTCCGTCAACACGTAGATCCTAATTTCCGAAATTCTAAATTTGTACTGAAATTAATCTCATTTCTAATCAGAAATGACGCGTTCATTGCATTTTATATCTTTAATCTTTTGATATGTAAGAACAGATATTTGATGAAGTAAATGAACAAAAATTTTCAAGTTTCAAAGGATAAATTTGTTTAAGAATATTTTTGCAAAAAAAAACTTTTCTTTACTTCCTATATGTGACTTAACATTGTTTCCAAAATATTTAACAATTATTAGCTTCGAGCCTCGAAAAAAGATTATCTATTATTATTTATTATTATTTTTTCAATCTTCACTTCAAGTTTACAATTCTTCTTCTTTTCGCATGTAAATGAAAATTATTCCGATCCTTGGCTCTCCACAAATACCCCACTCATGACTCTTAACATTTTCTTTCCTTCAAACATTTGCCAACAAGAGCCGGGGAAAATAGATCGAGTTATCTTGGTATAAAATCAAATTCCGAGTTACGCTAACAAGCTTTCGCGCGTCGTTGCAAGCTCGATAGCGACACGATCGATACGTTTCTCCAAAGTCATCGTGGCATATGCAAATTAATCGGCGTCCCGTAAGACTTCTGCGTATCCGCGAAAAGGAAAGAAAAGACGAGGAGAAAAAAAAAGAAGCTCGAACAGATCCCGGTCGCGGAGAAAGCTGCGAATGGGTAAAAATGCGACGACACGTGCGAACATATGTGCGCGCACAAAAGGTGCCCCTCTTCAAGGTTACTCAGCATCTCTCGGACGCGCGCGACGATGGAGAGATTTATTGCGCAAGCCGCGGCGTATATTGTCGAAGGAAAGCGGTAATCACGATGCTTAACGAGCGATTTGTGGCACTTTACAGTGACGACATCTCGCCGGTAACAGATTGCGACGGTCTCGCAAGCGTCTCCCGATCATCTCGTCGTCCGCTCCGGACTCGGCGAGACGCATCTGATGACGGGGAGATGACTGTCCGTCATCTGGTGCACTCGGCGTGATTATGTCAATGTGCTGTTACGCGAATTATTTACAGTTACGTCGCTAAATCATCGCATTCGGACGAGAATATTCCCGTTCTACGGAGCATTGATCTCTCTCAATCGAGAGACTGCTAAGATAATAAAAATTCCGGGGTAAATAAAAACGTTTAAAAAAAAAAAGATTGCGATTTTTAGAACACGCTCTAATATTTCAAATGCCCTTTAATCGTCTATTCATTTTCGGAGCTTTTTGTATCGATTAGAAATGCTTCATCGCGTTATTGGAATACGATGATCTTCGTCTGCGGTTTATAAGCATCGCGCGATAAGCGTATATTTATAAATAAGTGGAAAATTATAGTATGACCTTTCGCAGCATCGTCTAAACCGAGCGATCGAGATGAAGGACTGCGGTTATTAAATCGCTGAAAATTACGAGGCAAAATACCGGAACTATCATATTACAAGATATCAAAAAAAAATAGTGCTTCAGAAATTGAAAAAAAAAATTAATGCTTAAAATATATAAAAATAAAAATAAAAAATACATTTACAAAATATCATTACTTGCAATATCTTCTTTGCTTTTAATTAAACGTCAGTGTTATCACAGATATTTTTAACATTAAAACAGATTGCTCTTTTAAATGTCCCTCTTTAATCAGCGTTTTAATAAATATTGTAAAAAGAGCAGTTGAAAATATTAATACAAATATTAATGTAAAAAAAATAAATATTAATATAAAAGATAAATCGCAAAATTAAATGAATAATTTTACTTCGAAATCTCATATTAATATATAGCGAGAACAATTTGAAAAAATATTAACGAGAGAAATTAAATGTCGATAAAAAATTACAGATATGATACCGTATGCTCATGTATGTGTGTGCGAGATGTCACCCACGAGGCGTGATCGGTTTAATCGCGATATATCCGCATCTAGTCGCTTAGCATCTCAGCTTAGCGAATCAATAAATAAGCTGCTATTAGATAAACCGCGGTCTTTTTCTCGACGGTTTGTCAACGAGGGTCAACAATGACCGGCGAGACATGGGAGG